TTATTATGGAATGGAAAAACTGGCATTAGTTATTTCTAAGAAACAGCATAGCTTCCGCAAGATCTTCTTTGTTGGAGGACCATAGATCCAATTTGATAAACTTGAGAGCTGAGAAAAGTCTTTTAGTGTCTTTCCACACTAACTTGAGTAGAAGGAAGAGCTGTTACTGTTAGGGCTACTTCTTTTAACTTTTCAGGATAGATTTTTATAAGTTCTAAAAGAGGTGTCTTGCAAGTGCAATCATATTTCTCTATTTCTTTAAAGACCATGTAGAAATCTTGTTTGTATTCTTTCATTTTTATATCTAGAGGCTGCTGATTCTTTATTTTCATTCGCTCCGCCTTTTCAATATTATTCAAAATATTTCTCAAAATCTAATTCATCACTGGAAGAGGATGATAGAGACTCAATTGCAATGTCTACAGTTTGACTGTCCTGATTCAAATTCTCTAATTGTTCTGAGAATAATTTCATTCTTAATGAAAGTTCATGGTTAGATGGCTTTCTTTGCCTTTTTAATTTGTTCGTCATCCAAGAAAATTCAGTGTGTTGGATCTACGTATATTGAACCCAGCAAGATCTCATTGTCTAGCAAACTAGTTCTCTTTTCTTCATTGAAGAAATGATTCCTTTTGCAATAAACCCTCCATGTCAGAAAGAACAATCATCATATTCTTCCATTCTCACCTCCTAACAACCTCTTTATAATCAAATATGTACTTCCTTATTGTGTTGCTTGATCAATAATTGCTCCTGCTCCTAAGAATGGCATCAATGTTGGGAGTTCTTGCTGCTAGTGCTGCTTACCTAAATTTACCAGTAAGATTTGTAGTAAATGAAGTAACTAAAAATCAGTTTAATCACTAATTTTTTTTTTTTTTCTCTCATCCATTCTCCTCCCTTATATTTATTAACATGTGAATAAAATAGAAAATAACTATTTATTAACGTATATAGTTCATAAATAAAAATAACTCAGCTGGTCATTAGTTTTTTAAAATTCATTTCAAATTGTCATTTCAAATTCAAACTGTCCAACAAAAACTGGAGTCGGAGTCGATCTGTTTTTAGCGACTCCTTTTACCCTAAAATCTGCCCGCCTCTACAGCCCTGATGTGAACACATACATCCATACATTTCTGAATCCGGTCCTGATAACAGAACAGTACCGAAGATTCAAGCAATGCTTATTCAGTTGATGTTTGCATTCAGTTTTTTTTTTTTTTTTTTTTTTTTTTTTTTTTTCAATATATGAGGTATTTCTCCCACCTTCCTAGCATGGTGTAGTGGTTCTGCACGTTGGGCCGCTATTCCAAAGGTCCGTGGTTCGATTCCCGGCTCATTTTTCATCTTGCCTGCTTCCAAAAATAACTAATGTCTCTACAGTGGCGCCCGAACTAAAAGGGTGTTGGATGATGCTTCTCCTCACTCAGGATTTGGTACCCTAAAAATCTCAGTCGCCCTTTAAAAGGGGGAGTATATAAGGTATTTCTCTCGCCTTCATGGTGTAGTGGTTATGTACGTTGGGCCGGTATTCCAGAGGTCCGTGGTTCGATTCCCCGCAAAGACAATTGCTCATTTTTCATCTTGCCACCTTCCAAAAATGCCTAATGTCTGTACAAATACACTGTTATATTTATCCACACAAATACTAGGCATTTTAATTATTAATCTTATTTTTGTTGTATTTAAAAGCACATTGATAAATAAAAGCTTTCCTTCCCTACTTGAAATATTCTTGGTATAGAAGTGTAAGAAAGTTATAAAATGAAATTAAAATAACATAAAATTTAGAATATCATAAATTTATTCTTATGAAACAATTAAATGCTAATATATTTTACATCAGAATTGAATTGCCTGAAACTTGTATTATAAAGTGAATTAAACTCAGTTTGGAGTTCCTTTGAAATGGTGTCTCTACACAGCATGAAAACTTCCCAGTTTTTAATATTTCAAGTTGGCAGTTATGAGAATAACCTTTCATATACCTGAGTTATTATTGAATCTTTACTAGATGAAAAATTCTATTCAGATACAGTAATGTTGGAATAACTAAATGGAAGTTCAAATGGCTTTCAGGGAGAGCTAAAACAAAGCACAATCAGAATATTTTTGTGTATAAAAATAACTGAATTTTTAATTGATTTTAATTTTCAAATAAATCATTAAATTAGAATTAATTTTAATTCCCTTGTCCAACTGATATGTTATCATGAAAAAGATGATTATGCATGCAGTGAATTATATATAATAAGTGGGTAGACCAGAAATTTTATTTTTTTGTTTGATTTTTATGTTTGTTATATACATATAGATTGTATTTCAGTACCTGTTTTTGACCATTTTTAATGCCAGCTATATATTTCATGTGTTGTAGTTTTATGTACTCGCATACATAAAAAATTATGTTAACGTCAGATACAGTTACTTAAGTATTATTGCAGCCATCTTAGTAGAAGTTGCCAAATTTTTATTATGTGCCAAGCTCTGGCAACCATGCACATAATCATTCTCAAGGCGATCATGTTCGTAACAACTCTTCAGTTAAGCAACGTTGCCATTCTCATATGCATTACTTTTATTCTATTCAATATTCCAACAGTTTTTATTGCTAAATTATATTTTTTGCCTTCAAGTCAATTTTAAAATTTGGGCTTAAGGAATTTGCCAGGAGTGAGAGAAGGTGTGAAAAAATTTCTGCACAGATACAGAATTTTGCCTCAAAACAGCTAAAAAAACTCTTTAGCTTAATAAGCTATATATAATAGGTAACAAAAGCTTAATGAATAATTAAGCTAAAGAAAGCTTAATGCATCTCATCAAAACAGTGATGAGATGCATTTGTAGATAACCGAAGTGACCTAAGTTTGCACAATTCTGCAATATTTTTTAAACAAATGAATAGCTGTGCACATAATGAAAAGATACTCGCAAAAGATTTCACAGAGAATGTGCTTCCTTTTTTCAATGCATTATATAATTCTTATTTGGTAGTTAAAATTTGTATATTAAATTGAAGTTTGATTTCTTTTCATATGTTGATAATATTTTCAAAATTAAAATGAATATTGATAGTTTTGCAATCCTTTTGAAAAATATCACAAAAATTGCCAGATTGTGCCAAGGTGGTTGCATTAATACATAAGTACCCACATATGTTCCTTCAGCTAAAACAATGTGTGTTTTGGTGATATATTTAGTTTTTTTTTTGGGGGGGGGTGATTGTCGGCTTCCATTTTGTTATACAATTTTATAAAATTGGAAATAAAATTTACTGAATTATACAGTTTACTTTTTATAACAACATACTGTTACATAAAGATGTTCATATGTTCCATATCTTATGTTAGTATTTTTTACCTATGTTGTGAAACACTTGCAGATATTTTGTAACTTTTGTAACCTAAACTAAAAAGCCACATATATTTTTTTAGTGCATACCTTTGTGTAAATGCAATGAACACCAATAAATAAAATTTTATTATATAAATTTCTATTTGTTTCCTATATATACTGCATTTCCTTGCATGTCCTCCTCCCCTTAGCACTAAAAAGTGCCAGTTCTGAAAATTTTCACAAAATATTCTTCTTCCTTTAATACTTCAGAGAACAATTTCTGTTAAATTTTAAAATGAATTCATCCATGTAGTGATTGTTTTCAACTTACTAACAGAGATAAATCCTCGCAAACTACTTGTGAAGGTCACGCCAAAACTTTTACTTCTCACTTTTGAGCTTTATGCTGGCCTGATACAAAAACCTACCCATTATAGCAAAGCAAACACGAAATGATATTCAGTCTATGGTTTCACTGAATCACTGCACATTCACCTTTTCTAATTATTTATGGATGATTCGATGCTTAAGGAGAAGTAGAGACAGCAGTAAGAATGGGTGAGATTCAAGTTACAGGGAAGTAGAAATGAGGATATCTTATTAGATATTGTAATGTTAATATTACTGTGTATTTTGATCAAAAATGTATGTTTTATGTAAAGAAATAATATTGTGATAATTATCTGTAGTTTATCCATGATAACCTCTTATGTTTTATGTTCTTACTGTAACTGCTGCCTTCAGAAATTAAGATATTCGCATAATTTTCCACTCCTCCGACGACTCCGCGGCGCGCAATGAATTGGAAGTTGATCTGTCAGCACTATCCTTATCTTCAGGGCAGATGTATTTATTTTATTTGGCTTATAATTCCTTACTAAATGTAGTATTTCATCTCAATGTACTCCATCTTTGATATATGACTTAAATCAAATTCCTCTTCATTATAATTCGCTTCCGATAGTGAAGAAAGTGACCCAGAGGTTATTGAAAACAAAAAAAATTTCGATTGGCAAATTAGTCGGTATTCTCGACACAGCAATTATAGGACTTGAACAGCGGAACTTTGTAACTGAAGAAGAAATTATGTTTGTTTATAGAATTAAAGAGAAAGTATTATCACATAAAACGAAGCAACTTAAACAACTTACATTGAAAGAAATGTTTAATAAAGTAAACAAATAAATATTAAGCCTTTTTTTTTTTTTTTTTTTGTAAATTTTGATACCTTTTAGATCATAAGTGTTCTTTATTTCATAAATTACGGTTTCATATTTTTAATTTTATAATTTCTGCATGCCATCTTACCAGATTTAAACTGATGATCTATAATCCGGAATCACCGAAGTCCCAATGAGTCCGGATTAACGACTTTTGACTGTATATGTATTTTTATAATTATTTTAAGTGGCTAGTTTGAATAGAATATTACCATATGTAATTTATTAAATATTGTACTGGAAATGAAAAACAGCTAGTTATGTAGATGTTCATTATTAATATTCTCAGCTAAAACAGATTAAGTGTAAAGAATGTTTAATAATGAACTTGAATTAACTACTGGATGATGCCACAACAAGAAGCTAATAAATGTCTTCAGATAAGACTCAATTAAGTCGTAGAAGGCTTTGATTTGTTGAAGAATTAGATTTAAAATAACAGAAAGGAAGAAATTTGAAGTTTTTAATAATTATTTAAATTTTGTGTATTATAATTGCTAAAGTTTACCATCAATGTCAAATAAAAATAATAATAAAAGCTTCATGCATTTCAGATGGAGTAGAATGATTGTCTCTGATGAAACCAATTCATGCTTTTGATGCATTGAGACATTTCATTTAAAAACTACTGGAAAAAAAATTGGACTTTATATCAATTTATGTTAAGAATGTTCAGGCACACTGTTGGTAGTCTTAATGTTTTAAATGAAGCTAAAACTATCATATGATAAGAATTCAAACAAAATTCAAATTCTGAGTTTTAACTGAAATGTAAAATTGTCTTTTTAAACAGAAAGTTTTAGGATATTTTAAAAAGATGCTTAATTGTAAAAAAAAAAAAAAAAAAAAAAAAAAAAGAGTGTTAAATTTCATAAGTATATTCAAGACCAGATCCACTTAGAACATGTTCAACTTGTTGATCTAATTTTGATATCATTTCTTCATTAAAATAATTTTTCCAGTCTCCAACCTTTCCTAGAATGAAAAAGCAAATTTGAAATTATTATAAAATACAAAAAATAGCAAACATATTGCTACTTTAACAACATAAAAATTTAGTGTTATTAAAGTGAACTAACTAACATACATACCCTTGCGAAAAAACTTTGATCCCTGCCCATCAACTACATCTTCATCTGATAAGCCAACGCTTTCACTTTTTGCCATATTTTTAAAGCTGCAGTGATCAACAACAGCTTTAATTTCTTCAGCTGTTAAGGGCTTCCCCAAAAAGTCAGAGATTTTTTTCAAATTCTTAGGCAAATCCTAAAACATAATTACACAAATTAATTTTTTCAAAACACAATGAAAATTCTATTTTTAAATTATATTTTAAGAAACATATTTTGTATTATTTACCTTTTGCAAGTCTTCATAAAATAAAAATAGCACATTTTCATCATTTCTATGTTTCCAGAATTCTAAGTTGTGCTGTAAAAATGGACTGTATGTGCCTGTAAAAACAAAGCTATTATTCATGATTCAGTGGAATTTATAATTGTCTTCACTTGAATCAGTAAATTTACTCACTTCGATTTGCAAGAAATCTTTCAAAAAACTGTTTAAACGTCCCCTTATAACGTGTTTCTTTTAGCATGCAAGCAAAATGGTAATATGAAACTGCAACATCTCGTGGATTTCTTGTAATATATATCATCTGGGGGGGGAGAGCAGAATTAGAAGCTATATTAAAATTCTTAAAATTTTACAAAAATATAAAATTTGCATTTTAAAATGATAGTTCTGTTATAAATTATGCAGTTAAAAAATAAATATAATGCTGATTCATTAAAGCAATTATGAAGGTCACACTGAAATTTTTTAGATGCAGTTAAATGGTAAAAGAAGTCATGTCCAAACTCAATACTTCAATGTGTTTGTGTTCCAGAAATTAAACTGTCAATCTTGTTGAATGTGAAGATGCATTTGCATGTTGAAGCACAAGTTCTTAATTTTCGCTACTTAGAGAATTTTTGGAAGAAAGCTAATGGTGAACCAGTTACTTGTAACAGTCTTCTGTCTCTCTACCTCAATGGATTTGAACAGTTCTGTATTTCTGAAGAAAATACACGTTTTTCATTGCTGACTGTCATTTCACCATTGTCGATTGGGATCAACTTCAAAGACCTATAATTTACTTTTGATGTGTTGGAACATCAAAAAGTAGTATTATGTTTCATCACCAGTTATGATTTTACCAATAATGTGGTGTACATACCATTCAGAAATTTTAGGGTATCCTTACTGATTCCGATCTACTTTGCATTTTTGGTGTTCTATTAATTTATTGGGGACTCAACAACAAACTAATTTTTTCACATGACTTTCTCACGAATAATTTTATGTATAGCTAATGATTCAATGCTAAGTTCCTTCTGTAAGTACTGAAATAACGCAAGTTCCCAAATAATGAATGTAAATAGGTTTAATGTACTCAAGCTCTCAAGTACATAATTAATGTATCCATGCAACTTAATCATGTATCCAATGTATTTAACCTCACAGATCATATTTAATATAGTATTTGCAAAGTATTTGATGTATTTAAGAATTATTAGTAGTATTATTGTTAGTATTTGATGCATTTAAGAATTATGCCAGCATACACCCAAGGATCATCACCAATGCATTCTAACAGCAAATGCTTATATAGTCATTCCTGAGGCAGGCCTGCTGGGACTCGAGGGAGCTACGGGTTCAGGATAGTAGAGGGTGTAAGACATATACCTGCTTACCTTTGATACACACCAGGTGTCCCCATCTTCTATCACCTGCATCCATATGGACAGGTACTGAAATTACCATTGATTAACATTTTTCATATGATCGACACATTTTCTGGGGCTACAGCTAAAAAATTTCTTTCTGTTTGTTCTTCATTCAAAAGAGAACTTTGATCTCTACAAAATTCTATAAACCATCTGAATATAGTGGTATGAGATTGAGCTTCATTTACATATGTTAATTGTTTATGTTAAAGGCATTCTTGATTTAATATACTTTAAAGGTAACAAAATCACAGCTTAATTATGCTTTTATCTAGGTTCCATTTTTTTTTTTTTTTTTTTTTTCAAAATTAATTCCACTGTAGATAAATTGCAACTGTTGCCACAAATTATCATCTGCAGACATTAAAAAGAGTGCAATTTAACACAGCTAACAAGTAATTTTCAATTAACATTTTGAGGCCGGGGCTTTGGTAGCAGTGAAAGCTACCAAAGGACGGGGAATCTTGAACCAAATGCTTTCCCCCCTTTAAGAAATCACCTCCTATTTGCAAAAAAGATTCTTGTGTGTAGTTTAATGGATTCTCAAAAGGGTGTATCTATGTCGCAAAAGAAAGACCTTTGAAAGAGATAAGTGGTTAAAACCCCAGGGATGTCAAATTTTACATTTTACCTCACTTTTCAGCCTGGAAAACGGGGGGAAAAAGACATGGCCACTAAGTGGACAACCCCGTCTTTTCAAAGAGAAGACTCTATGGTCACTATAATGGCCATCCCGTCTTCAAAAGGTTAATGCTCGTCTTAATAATTTCAGAGTTACCAGCATACATAATTAAAATTATGCTTAATTATAAATGCAGGGGTTCTCAACATCCCCCGTGCATCCCTTTTTCATTGCTTGTCCCTTCTCCTTAAGAAAATATGGAAAAATTTACTTGATTCTTTTTAATGTGTTTTATTAATTAAACAGCAGAAAGTATAAAAAATGTTGATAAATACCAAAATTTGAATAAAAGTATTTTGTTTCATATTCATACTTAAAACTAAAATACTGAAAGGTTAAATAAAAGGTTGACTGCATCTCCCTGAAACTATGAAATCCTGGTTGAGAACCTTTGTTATAAATGCATCTTTTTTCATTTGGAATAAAGATTAAAAGCAAAGTTGATTTCAAATTCGTAACTGTATTTTTATATAATTAAGGGTTTAATATTTGATATATTTAAACAGGAAACAGTAATTGTTAAGTCCTGAGTTTGTTTGTCTATATCACTAATAAATATAGATTTATATTTAATTACTATATAAAGTGTCCTGGTAAGTACTTAAAATGAAATCTTCACTCAATCAAAATTTGTGAAATTACACTCGGTATTTTTCATATTTTATAAGAAATTAATTTTTTAATTATATCATTTTTAAAATAAAAGAATGCAAGTGGTAACTTGATGTGGAGGGCTAGTTTTACCATTAGTCAAACCTTGATGATTACCTAGGGAGCCTTGTCTTACTCATAAAGAAAGAATATGATACATTTTTTTGATGAATAGATATCAAATTTTTAGGAAATTTATAATCTAGCTAAAATATTGTTTAATTTAATATTAATTAAATACTATAAATTAGTAGTGTGCTACGATTACACCATGAAGGCATGCTGGAAGGAGGGAGAAAATACCTTGTATACTCCCCCTTATAAAGGGCAACTAAGGATTAGGGGACCCAATCGCCAAATCCTGGTGGTGAAGAATCATCATCCACCACCTTTTTAGTTCGGGCGCCACTGTAAAGTCATTAGGGTTTTTTCATGCTGGAGAACTGAAAAATGAGCAATGCCCTTGCCGGGACTTGAACCTGGACCTCTTGAGTATGTGCTGAGTGTGATACTGTCACACCATGAAGGCATGCTGAAAGGAGGGAGAAAACACCTTATACATTAACGAATTTTTTATTAACAAACTCGATGATTTCAAAGCGAGCAATGGCAACACTGTACAGAAAAAAAGCATTTTTATCTCCAATGCCTGAGACTGCATATCGGAAATTCTAATGATATGCTCTTTTAAAATTATTTTGTGATATTGCTGTTGAATTTTATAGTTTAAGTGCACAGAACATGATATTTAACAAATAAAAGTAACACCCAAAACATTAAAGAAACACCCTTTTGGACATAATATAAAATTTGGGCATGATTGTTTTTTAATATGACATTGCCAAAACATGAATATTTTGATCATTTATTGGAAATATATGACTATGAACAATGACTGTAAAAGTAAAGGCTGGGTAATCTGTGGGTATTTAACTTTTGGTGCTGCTGATTGCAATAAAACAGGGAGGTGTGCAACTTAATGTTATAGCAGTCTCATATACAAAATTTCAACTTTCTACAGCTAATCATTTTCAGTTACATGAGATACATACACATGTGCATACGGACATCGCAAAAAATCCATTTTGCAATCTGTTTGGGAAAAAAGTGTTCTCTATTAATACAGATATCATGGAAAAAAAAAAAAATAGTCAAAGTGGATTTGGGAAGGTTCAAAATGGACATTTCCATTGAAATATGATACCTGAATTATTATTATTATTATTATTATTTTTTTTTTTTTTTTTTTTTTTTTTTTTTTTTTTTCAGTTACAGTACTTCCCTTACGTACTGTTCAAGGAAGTAATAAAATTGTGATAGTTACTAGTAGTTTATCTATGATTACTTTTTGTTATGTTCTCATTGCAGTTGCTTCCTTTTGAAATTAATACTATTCCATAATTTTCTCCTCTCGATTTGCGAACGATAAAATTATTTAAAGAAAGGGGAGAAATATGCAAGGAAGTATGGTATATTTGAAAAACCCAGAACATGCCAACAGCGTCAGTCAGTTATTACACTGGCAGGAGGTGTTAATTTCCAGTTACACATAGGCAGATTGAAATGACATTAAAAGTTTCATGAAGTTATTCTGAAGTCATGTTAAGAATGTAAAAAGAATTAATCTTCAAAATTGTTTTGGATGCAGTGATGTAAATTCATGATGTTTCCTATGTATGACGAAATTGCTATTTTATCATGCATGTGAAAAATCCTGGTCGGACTGTTTTATATTTATATGCAATTTACTTTTGCTACTGTACTTTTGACCCTCCAATATATAAAGCATTTCACAGACATTTACTTATGACCTATCTTGTTAAGTTTTAATAGATAAAAGAATATTATATATATAATATGCCACATTAATGTGGATACTCCAATATATCACATTTTTTACTCCTTAGACATACTTGAATGTGACTTGGATAAATTAAAAATTAGTATGACTAAAAATGTAGAGGAGTGTGTTTCACTTGAACATGTATTTAAAATTTTCATAAACTTGTCAAGACTGTTAAAACAAGATATATCAAAATGTTAATTATTTCCACTTAAAGAAAAAGAGGAGGAGTTATTCTGGAGAGTTTTTCTCAAAATAAAACAAGAGTAAGGAATTAAAGATCCAATGATTAGCTTTTTTTTTAAATAATAAGGATGCATAAATATATATACTGTATATTTCTCTGTATCAGCCAAGAATTTTTGGAACTTTTTCTGGAGTGAATTTGTTGGGCTAGGCTTATATCGCAGAAAATGTAGGTACTTTTCCACTAACCAAATTATTAATCGCCAAATATCGTGTTTTTTTATTTCTTTTGTTTAAATTTTTGAAGTTTCATGGATGAAAAAAAGATTTTAAATGAAATCAGATATTCAGTTTGTGAAAATGAGTTGTTTTATTTTCAAAATTGTTTATAATTCTGATTTAGTGCTTCATCACCGAAACAAAAATATGATGTTGACATAAATTTGCACCTTTGCTTTCTCCACTTCCGAACTAGTTTCCGATTTACAAAGACATACCGAACAGCCATTCTGTTGTTAGGATTTTCATCAAATGTAATCAACAGTACTTTGAAGTTTGCTGCATAAGAATTTCTCTTCCAGCTCAGCTTTCAGACAAAAAAATAAAATGGTACAGAAAGTAAGACCAGTACAGATACCACAGATCACATACAAGACAACAAATAGATCAAAGGGAGGAATGTGCTGGCTTCAGATGGCATTACCAGAATTAAAACTATCCTCTTTGGCATCTGACATTTTATTTTACAGTGATTTGACTGGAAAACAAACCACCAATTTTATCTACTTGGCAACATTTCACTCTCATGGGGACATGTTTGAACATCGTAGAAATTTTTCTCTTCATATCGGCTTATTATCGAGTTTTGAATTTTGAGTACATTTTTGAAGAAAAAAGCTGGTCGTGGCTTATATTTGGAAATATACAGTATATATAAAGCACAATGATAGCACAGGAATAATAAATATACAACAATGCAATATTTTTGTATGTAATTTGCAGGATATATATATATGTTTTATTGAAGAAAATACATTACTTTGCATTTCTTTGAATGAACATCTGGTGGTAAAAGGGAAAATGGCAGATGTGTTTTCAGCAGCCGTGGAGATTCCATATTTTTCACATAATTATAGTTAGTCTTTGCATGTTCAATATATGGAAATCTCTGATGCAGATCTGTGGTCTTTGCTGCATTAAAATCCAAGTTGCTATGGATAATGAAAACAATTTCTTGTAACCATGTTGTACCTAAAGATATAAGTTTGATATAAAAAAAATCTGTGCAATAACCAGTCTAATAAAATGTGAAGCAACTCTAAATAGGTACTATTTAAAAAACTAAACTTATAAATGGTGTGTTGACAATTTGAATTTTCTTAAATTTTTAAATACAATGTGTTTGTATTATAATGGTTCTCAACCTCTTTTATCCCATACACCCCTTTCCTTATTTCCTTTCCAAAATTCAAAATATGCCTATGTACATTTATTTAGATTTAGATTATTCTTTAATGTGTTTCATAAATTAACAACAAAAAGTATAGAAAATGCTGATAATTACCAAAACTTGAATGAAAGTAGTTTTTTTATATTCAAGAATTAGAACTAAGTGCTTATGAGTTAAATAAAAGGCTGATTACATTTCTTCTCTGAAACTGTGGAAAACTCCATTTCTATAAATACGTCTTCGTGCATTTTGCTTTAGAAACTATTTTCCTGTTATGTTCATACGTAAAACAAATCTGTCTATAGTTAAGTAAATATAATAATATTTAAGTATCTAAACTACTTTGTAATTATTTACATACAAAACAATTTAATATGAAAGCATAAATATTCATGAGCTAATACCTGGTGAAACGTCCAACAGATATATATTAAGCAGCTGATACTTGTTATAACAACATTCAATATAGTGACAAAAAAATTCATTATAGCAACTGGTATAAAAAGTCCACAGCTGATAAAAGTATATTAAATTCATTTTCACTACAGCAGTCACTTGTTATAAACATTTTTTTTTTTTTTTTTTTTTTTTCTTTCTGCAGAATGCAAGTTAATTATTAACAGTCAACAATTGTATATATAGTAAACTACTGTATTAGATATTTCTTTTGTAAAGCAGTCACCATATATATGAGCATTTGACATTTAAAATTTATTTAATACAGCCTGAAGAATATGTTTGTCAATTTTAAGTAACAAAGTATAAAAAATATGTGTAACTGCCATTTATGCACATAACTAATGCATGCATATGAATATCATTTATGTACATAAATATGTATGTGTATAAATACCATTTAACAATTAAACATCATATATTTATATACATGGTGTAATAGAATCTATGGTCACAACTTTAGCGAGTGACAGAATAGGAGAAATAAAGTAAGTTTTTCAAACTGTACTTACTATTTGTTCAGAATTTCTCGCCCAGGTAATTGATAATACTTTAAAAATATTCTGTTTTTAAAATCTTCTGAATTTACTTTAAAAAAAATATTTAGATCAGGGATGCCCAACTTTTTCAGATTTTTCTCTATAATATAAGCATATAACATAATCATAATGCAAATAATTATACCTAAATAGCTTAAAGATAATAAATAATTAGATTAAGAATATAAAAAATATATTTATGTTTAATTAAGTTTTATATTATATCATAATGCAAATAATTATACCTAAATAGCTTAAAGATAATAATTAGATTAAGAAATAAAAAAATAGATTTATACTAATTCAGAAGTCAAACAACAAAAATTAGCGTTATTGTATATTTTGTAAATATAACGCTGATTTTTGTTGTTTGACTTCTGAATTAATATTTATTCGGCGTGTTATTGTGTCTTAAGAAGATTTATGTTTAATTAATTTTTATATTGTTTTTAAATTTACAAATACAAACAAGTTTTCAGAAGGAAAAAAAATCACATTATTTAACTTAACAAAAGTTCAGTTTTAATGTAAATGATAGCTATGATTAATGTACTGATGTAATTTTTAAAAATATTGGCATAAAATTGCTCAATTTAATTTTTAAATCACTTCATTAAAAAATATTCAACTTGTTTCCTGCTTTGTACTCCAGTTTCACATTTTCTTTTTTACTATGTTTTACTTCTTTTCTTATTGTGCTTATTGCATAAAAGATTTATATATTAGTTAAAAGAGAAAAAGTTAAAAAAAATATGTGAAATAATTTTAATGTATTTTCTCCTTTTATTTATTTTATATAATTTCTTTCTTAGTACATGATACAGCTTTATATCAGTAAATAATTAATTATCAGCTTTATTAATAATTTTTTATAATCAATGGTATCTTGTTATGTTGGTCAACTGTGGGTGCATATTTGGCTATTGATCTCTTGATCACTACTGATTTCCTTTAAGATTTTCTTGATCTGGTGGGAACAATTTATGTGTGTTAAATTATCAAACATACATAAATTATTTTAAAATACAATACTGTAAAAGTATCTAAAGAAATAAGTAAAAGAATAGGAAAGAAAGTAAAAGAAAATAACTGAAAAGTTTAATAAATATATGGGGGTACTATTTTTTCATTCTGCTCTTATATTCGGATTATTTATTTTTCTGCTATTAGAGTACTTTTTTTAATTTGTATGTAACAGATTTATTGATAATATTTACTCAGAGCATAATGCATAAACTTGAACAGTCTGTGGCGATAAAGTAACGTAATTAGTTTACAATTTGCAACATATAGAAACTACTGTATAATTTTTTTTCAATATTTAATGTACAATTATAACAAAAGTTACTTAATGCATAAAATATAGTTTGTAGCACCTGTTTTAGGATATGAAACTACATAAATGTCATCTTCTCTCGCTTCGTACGACTTCGCCTCTTCTTGTAAAAATTTAATAGCGAATGATGGGAGGGAAAATCCATTACAAATAAATACATCAAATGATTCTTCTAATTTCGGATCCTTTGGCAGTGTTTCAAAGCGCAAGTCGTACGCCATTTTGACAGACAAATGACGGGTATAAATTGGTATTTAGGTTACTTGATCGATTAGGACCGATAGGAATGTTTACATTGCTAAGTAGATTCAAACTAGGTTACTCTAGCAGACACATTTTGACTTGTTGCCAGATATATTTCACTTAATGTAACGTTCCGACCGAATGTTTTCTCTCGGTGGCTTGACCTAGCGGATACACCTTCTTGATCATTAATTCAGTCAATCATGTAAATTAGGGAAAAATGTTTTGATCGCGTTTTAATTATAAGAGTTTATATCTATCTTTATATACATACAGTGACTCACACTTGTATTCAGATACTTGTATTTTTTTAATTTGAGTAAATCTTGTACTAAATATTAAAACATAGAATAAATCATAGAACATTTTTTTTTCTGTATTATTTTTCTCCATTCTTGCCTGTTGAAAAATAAATAAATATCAAAGTATTCCGTGTAATAAAGCAATTTAATCGAAAAGTGTTAATTAGTATTTCACAATTAATTCGGACACTCGAAAGCTTTGCTGAGATGCTTCGGAAGATAACGTTTTTTTTTTTTTTTTTTTTTTTACTTTACTTCAAATGAAAGTCATAAAAATTATTGTCATTATCATAAAATTTGGCATAAGCACATTTCCTTCCGTTGGCGTAATAAAATGTTGCCTACATTCTTAAAGGAGCCAAATGTCGCCAAAAGTCTGTTCTGCGAACATTGCCCGTTATTATTTGTTCAACAAAATATATTAACAGCTTCATATCTGAAGAAAACATAGTCAAACGCTATAAATTAATAACACGTTTTGTTAGAAATTTTTAAATTTCTCATACTGAAGTAATTTTAAAGATGATAAATTATTCGACATCTTCAAAATATCCTTAGTGTAAATCGTTTAACTATTTTTATTGTTACTAAAACGATGGAAGTTACGTGGAATTGTTCAAAATGCACTGAAATCTGGCGCACATTCCAAGGTGATACGAAGGAATCAAAGATTTTTCCTGCGAAAAATAAAACAAAACTCCAAAATTAGTGATGTAAAACTTGCAGGGAATTCAGAAGAACAATATTCAATAAAAGTAAACAGCAAATGGATACAATGGGCGATCAGGAAAGAAAAAAAAAATCTTCAGCATGAAAACAAGGAAAATACGGCTGACGTTCGCAAAATCCAAGGTAAGCAAATATTTATCGTATTGGAACAGTGTTATGTTTGCAAACGAATTTATTTCTGCTAGAATTATTATGTGCGAAACCCTAATAAAGGCTTCAATGCGAAAAATCTATTCATAGAAATTAAGCACCGGGGGGGGGACTTGATGGCATAGGAATGTTTCGCTGCCCATGGGATGAGAAATTTTGTTTTTACAGAAAATAATAAGCGTCAGTATAAATCTATAAATACGTGTTCTAAATGAAAACATGAAAGTATAAGAAAACTTTGAATGTAAAATACATTCATGTTCTATCAGGATAACGATCTAAACATGCATTCTCCTTAAATGTTTGCTTGTGGTTATTATACAATTGTCCTGAAGTAATGAAATTCGCTCTATAATCTGTTAATATGCTATCGAACATGTATGAAGTGTAACATGTATGAACATGTATGAAGTGTTGGAGTAAAGAATAAGCACACATGATATTTTTTCGAAAGTTCTACTAAAAGCAATTCTTATGGAGGAATAGAATATTCTTACAGGGAAAAAATTAACATCCATTAGAAATACATTAGAAAGCGAGTGAAAAACATTTTTTTTTTAACTATAAGTTAGCTAACAAAATATTGAATGCCCGTTATTTGCATATTTTATTACATATAAACTGTTCGTTCAAAGTGACCGAATACTGCCGAGTTCATTTTCAAAAATTTTTAAATTATTTTTTTTTAAAAATCGTATTGAATTTTTTTTTTTTTTTTCCAAAACAAGTAGGTCTTAAAAAGATGATCAGTAGTATATGTGAAGAAAATAAAGCCATTTCGTTTATATTTAGCAACTAATATTTGCAAGTAAAACTAAAAACAAAGTGTCCAAAAACAAGTTTGAGCCACTGTATATCTTCTTTTCTACAGCATTTCAGAATGCTAATAACACGAAATATTATGTTTCAAACTGTATTTCGTCCTGCTTTTATTTTAATGTTCTCAAAATTGAAAATTGTTTAGTTTTTCTTAGTCATATTAGAAAGATATTTTGAGGTAATTTGATTTAATTTACATTAAATTAAAACTAGAGTTGAAAAAAAAATAAAAAAATTACATTATATAATTTTTATAAGTATATTATATAATAAGTAATGTAAGCCAATCAAACTGTAAAATAAGAAAGAAAGAAAATCTGAAAGGATTCAGATTTTATCGTCGCACCAGAGGATTTGCTGGATTTGCTTATGCTTTTGTTGAGCATCGCAAGTTGTAAGAAAGAAAGAAAATCTGAAAGTATTCAGATTTTAACGTCGCACCAGAGGATTTGCTAAAATATTTTATGCTTTTGTTGAGCATCGCAAGTTACTAATCTGCTCTTAGACTTGCTCCAATTTTTTTGTCTTTTTAGCTTTTGTCGTGGAGGAAAGAATTTTATCTGAGGCAGTGGCAACACATTGCTTTCAAATAGCCGAATTTGTGGATTAAAATTGAAAAGTAAATATCTTACATATTGCCGAATGGCAACAGTCTTGCGCGCCTGAGACAAAAATGCTGCCTTAACTCGCTTTCAAATCGCTGTGTTTATTTAACAAAAATTCGTTAAATTTTTACAAAATATGAAGTAAATTGGAAACAAATTCAGAATTCGGGCATCAAGATTCCCATGTTTGGTGGAGGACTCTGTGTTTTAAAAATTCAGTGACCCTAGGTATCATCTTTTTTCGCAGTGCGAGGAATATACATGCATACTGTACATATCGATTCTTCATTTTTTTTTTTAAATAATACAAGGCGGTAACATTTAGTGGCAATTGAAAAATGATTTGGACACAAAGAGGTACAGATAAAGTGAGTTTCGAGACTAATACCACCTCTGGAACTAATAAAAATTAAACTGTACGTATTTATTTACAAACAAAATGGACACTTAAAAGGGGGAAAAAGTGTAATTCGAAAATAGCAAGCAGTGATAAAACACACAGATAATCGAAAAATAGTTTATGTCTGTTGTTGCCGTTTTCTTTGTTCATTTCCTATAGGTATTATTACAAAGTCCTCCACGAAGGCATCCCTCCCCTTAGGCAGATAGCCCTCGTGTGCTTTGCCATAATTAAATACACCAACACCACCTATAGGTATTTAATTAAAAGTGTTTTAACCTCCCCCTGCTTTATAAAATCAGACCTTGTCAAACATTATTTAAAATTTTAAAACTCTAGAATTTCCAAAATCTTTTGAGATCAAAATCTTTTCTTTAATTGTAATGTTGTGTAGCATGCTTTGTACTTGGAAGATTTTCTTCAGTTTTAAAATTTTCTCTTCTTTTGAAGTGTTTAGATCGCTTGACTAAAGATTTTACTCCTTCTAGTGATCCTACGGTCTAACATTCTATTTCCAATAAATAGAAGTATGTCTATACGTCATAGCTGAGATTCTTTATCTGCTTTTATTCATACAAGATGATCGACCCTTCCCTCTTTAAAAATAGTTCAAAAACTTTAACGTCTGTTACCGTCATTAATAATTGTAACTTTCTATTTTAACTTGTCCAACTACCAAGCGGTAGAAGTCGCTGAACCTGGTAGTTCGACTCCTAAGGGGCTGACTATAGAAGAATTTTCGTAGTTTTCCTCATGTGTGACGTAAATACGAATTAGTTTCCATTAAAAATTCGTCCACGAAAGTTTCCCTTCCATTCCTTCCCAGTAGGCATTCTTGCATCGACTCCTTTTAAAACAATGGTTTTCTTCATTAATTTCCTTATATTTTCTTCTATAATATAGACAGAGGCGTAGCTAGAGTTTTTAGCACTCGGCGACAACTGAAAATTTCGCGTCCCCTCCTGTTTGCCAAAATAGAATGAAGAAAATTCATTTGGCGTCCCCTGGCTGCTACCCCTTCTTGCGTCTTCCAAAGCTACGACAATGAATATAAAGCGCACAGCATAATGGCCGGGGAGCAGCTGTTATCTCGTAGTGTTCTCGTTAGATATAATGAGTACATTTCCATATTCATGACGTAATTGCCATTACAGCATAACCTTCCTTAATAAGTTTCAACGGCCGGTATGGATGAAAGAATACGCTCAGATGTGGTGTTTTATTAATTTTACTTTCTTCATATTTTCATGATTGCTTTTCTTGTGTTACTGAGTTTTGCTTTTTTATACACATGCTGCTAAAAAACATTGTGTTAAAAAATTATTATTTCATTCAAAAATATATCAAATAATTTTTGTGTATTTTATCCCTTATATTTATTTTCTGATTTCATTCACATTACATGATATAACTTGTAGAATCATTCGGTTTATAGATGCAGGAAGCGTGAAAATGTGATGTGCAGTGCTCTAGGCAGGTTTTGAACATCGGCTCTTCCGATTACCAACCGGGTGTGCTATCCAGTTAAATTGCGTCCAGACCACGGTATAAAGGTCATAAGTGGTTTAAGCCGAGTTGCGTTACCAGGCAACCCGTCTGTGCTACGTTACGTCACAAAATCTGGTTTAAGGCTGTTGGCATCAAGTTCGAAGTTTTCAACTTTATGCCGACTTGGGAATAAGCTTCGACCAAGGAGGTTAGCCAAGGAGGTAGATTGAAAACTTTCGTAGAGACATTAGGTAATTTTTTTTTTTTTTTTTTTACCACGGACCTCTGGAATACCGGCCCAGCTTGCAGAACCACTACACCACGAAGACACGCTAGAAAAGTGGAAGAAATACCTTACACCTTTAGTACTATCACTACAAAGTACTATTACCACCACTACTCTTGAACAAAGCTCAGATCGCAAAAATTTACGAGTATTTAGAGAAAAAACTCAATAAGCATGCTGGGGTTTCAATTTTTTAATTTAATAGTTTAAATACTTTACTTCTTTCCGTACCACCTATTTTTCTCTTGCGTACCACCGGTTGAGAACCCCTACCATAGACTGTATCAAATTTTCAAAGAGCCCTTTTTGGGGCTATTTTTAAAAATTGAATCCTTTCAGAATTTTATA